CCCCCCCGCGACAGACGTGCTGGAAAGAGGTCCCACCTCCAGGAGGGTCCGGTCTAGGAGATGTTGGAGCTGAGTCCTGTCTTCCCTTCACCTGAGTGGGGTTGAGGGTGGCCAGGGTGTTGCGGGAGACCACGATGCCAATAGTCCTGTCCTGGGGTAATCTGGGATGTGGACACAGAGATTCCTACTCAACCCTGAAATAGAAATGCTGAAGAGCTCAGGAGCCAGAGAGGCGGGAAGGAGAGGGGTGGTGGGCCTGCCCACCTGCCTGCCCTTCCCTCTCCCTCCGGAGAATGCCAGCTGGAGGGTTATTCTTCCTTCCTCAGCCCAAGAGATGAGTGTCACTTGACCTCAGGGCACATTCCAGAATGAGGCCACAGCCAAGAATAGGACCCAGGAACCCTACCACCCATCCTGCCTATATTAATCACACATTCCCAGAGCAGGAGAGAGACTTCAGCCTCCTTGAGGCGGTGGAAGGAGGAGGAGGAAGGGGAGGGGGAGGAGGAGGAGAAGGAGGGGAAAGAGGAAGAGAAGGAAGAAGAGGGAGAGGAGAGGGAGGAAAAGGAGGGGAAGGAGGCAGTGGTATCAGGAAGTGGAGTTGGGAAAAAGCAGGGAAGACCCCAGAGAAGCCCCTTCCCAGCCCTGGAGCCTTCTGGTGCACCTCGTGGCCCTTGGCCCCGGGACCCTTTGTTCATCCAGCAAATCCCTGGCGAGCCCTGGGTGCTGGGCTCCCCCACCCCACGAGCCTCGGGAGGGCCCCCAAGCGGTGCTTCTGGCCTGGATGGTGCAAGCGCAAAGGGGGACAGCGGAGCTGAGTCTCGGAGGACAAGTAGGCGCAAGGCCGATGTCTCGCTCAGGAATGCTGGCCACGACTGCTTAGGTGTGTGATAGAAGTACCGTGGCACGTGGCACGTCATAAGAGCGGGCCGTCTGTGCGCGTGTGCGTGTGGCCGACGCGCTGGATGCGTGTCCTACACTGCGAGAAGCAGATGGCCTACATTCAAGTCCTGACTCTGCCACGTAGCGGCTGGGCGACTGTGGGCAAGTCTCGGGCCTCCTCCAGCCTCAGTTTTCCCGCCCGCAGAGCAGGGTTCTGTCCTGTACGGTTGTGGCGGAGGCAACAAGAAACGGTGTCTGAGCGCCCGCTCGGTGCTGCTGTTACAACAGGACCGTTGGCGACCACGCGTTCTCCCCCCCCCCGCGTCCCCCTCCCCCCCCAAGGAAATCACCATGTGGCTGTGTGTTTGTTCTCCCTTTTCTTCGTCAGGTTCCGCCCCTGGTCCCTGCTCTCTGGCCCCACTGTCCAGGGGGTGACATCAGACTATGGAGCAGCTGGCCAGACAATGGAGCAGAGTGTCCTAGGAGGCTGGAGGTGCTGGGGGAGGCGGAGGGTGGAAAAAGCCAAGCTGTCCTGCCCCAGAGGCCTCAGGCTGGTCCGGAGACAGCCGGCGCCAGACCAGGCCTCTGAAGAGGCGAACAGAGAGATGGACTGGAGCAGGGAGGGTGGGGAGGGGAGCCAACGGATGCAAGGAGGGAAGGAGCGAGTGTCCAGTGTAGACAGGGGGGCAGGTGAGTCTGGCCTCGGACCTGGAGGAGAGCTCAATCCCCCGACACCCCCCCCAACACACACCCGCTTCACTGTGTCCTGGGCCCCAGCTGGGGAGCCTCCCCAGTTTACCTGGCAACCAGGCCCCGGGAATTTAGCTCAAGCTCTACTGAGCACCTATCAGAGGTCAGTTACTGGGTAACACTTGAGCAACGGAGATCAGAGACTCAGGCTTGGTTTCGAGGACGAAAAACTGAATGCCATGTCATAGGACCAAAATTATAATAGATGCCCGTTCCCTAAGTGCCTATAGTTTCTGAACCCCACATCAGCCCGTGAGGGATGATCAGTTTGAATGTGCTCTGTGAGCAACAGAATAAAATATTTGAAGCTGTATGTTCACTGCGTCCGTGAAACCCCAGGCCCCACAGGATGCGGCAAGGGCTTTAGGTCCTGGGGGACTGCTCTTGGCCAGGGGGCTGCTGAGGGCAAGGAGGAGGCCCGGGGACAGCCATCTGTGCCAGACTCCTTCTCCCGGTTTGGCAAGGTTAACAGGGTCAAGCTCCCCAAGTCTCCAGGAAGTGCACTTATCACCCTCTGTTTTACAGATGAGGAAACTGAGGTTCCGAGAGGCACCGGGAAAGTGTCAGAGCCCGCGTTCAGACCTAGGTGGATCTGAAATTGGTGTCCCCTGAATGTCACACCTCCACCAGGCAGCCACTAGGGCTCAGGCCCCATATCCGTGCAAGGGAGGGGGCGGGGAGAAGGGAGGTGACAGGTGCTAGCATGTGGACACTTGACCCCTCAGGCTCTAAGGCAGTGTGTCATTTATTGGGGCACCCCCACCTAGAAGCAGGTGCGGCAGAACGTCCCCAAACTGCTGAGGGCAGGTGAGGTGCTGAGTCCTCCCCTACCTCCCTGGTTCCCTGACCCAAGCAGGGAGGGAGCCTGGGGTTAGTGCTCACACCTCCTTGGTGGCTAAGTGTTGTGCCTAGCATCTTCCCCAAGGTGACCTGAGAAGCCCCCACTCCTCTGGCCTCTCTTCTCTGTCGGGGAACAGCTTGTCTCCCGATCCCAGCCTCCTCCTTCCTGCAGGAATTATCTCTAAGGAGGGATGGGCCAGACCTGGCCAGGCTGGATGGGGCTGGGTGTGGATTCCTCCCGGAAGACCCCCCCGGGGAAGTGGAAAGGGGGCAGGGGTCCCTGGTGCTCAGCGGCTCACAGCCTCAGGGACAGACGAGATGTGGGGCATGCCATGGCCACAACTCCCAGGACAGGGAATAGCCACAGGCGCCCGACACCAAAGGTGCTGCTGTCCCCATTTTGGGAACAGAGCGTTGTGCTCTGAGCACACGTAGGGCTTCGGGACCCGGACTCACCCAGAGGCCCCCTAGGGAGCCACAGCTGGGCAGCCTGCCTCTTCCTGCCCCACTCATATCTCCTCCAACATCGTGCCTCCAAACACGACACCATCAGTGGAGTCTGCCCCTGGCCCACCATGCTGTCGTGACGGGCAGGGAGCCTGGGACGGAAGTCCGAACATCCAGGCCTAAGCTCCCTATCTTCCTGGGTAAGTCACCTGGCCTCTCTGGCCTCAGCTTTCCTGAGCTGCGGTGAGCACCGCATTTAAGGAGCCTCAGAGCTCCAAAGTGGGGCGAATGCTAGTGTCCCTCTGTCACCCATATATGGTCCCGTTGGCCAGACTTCCCTCCTGCAAGGTCACCGGAGCAAATGACACTACCCCCCCACCCACACACATTAAGCCAAACAAATCACACAAGAAGGGCTTTTGATACTATGAGCTTTTAATTGGAATCTTCCTCCCTACATTTGAGGAAGGCTCCACAATGACCTTCTTCAGCTTTGGAGGGGCCAGGACAGAATGAAGGGCTGAGGAGGGATGGGGGGCAGATGTAGAGCTGACGGTGGCTTTCTCAAGTCCTTTAGTGTGTGTGTGGTGGGGGGGGCAGGGGGTGGCTGGTCCTGTTCAGGAAGTCCAGAAACAAGAAGTCACCAACAAGCTGTCACATCCCCAAACCTGCCCTGCCGGGCTGCACCTAGAGCTTTCCTCAGGTCCCTGCAGCTCCCAAGGCCACCACCAGATGGAAGCATCGAGCAACATTCCTTTTCTTTCCCAGGCCGGTCTCCCCTCCTCCTTCCCTTCTTCGTCTTTCACTTACCCACTCCCCCCAACCCCGACTTTTCCTCTTCCTATATTTCCCTTCCCACCAGGACAGATCCTGGGGCTTCTATCTGCTTTCTGTCCGAGGGAGCCAGTGGCAGATGCAAATGGGGAGGGCCAGCCATGGGTCTGCTTCGGGCCAGGTGGGGGTGGGGGTGGGAGCCCTGGGATCTGGACATTCACGTTCAGCCAACTAGGAGCTGGGCGGTGACTAATACCTCTCTGTGCCCTAGCACCTGGCACCCAGCAAGTGTTCACAAAGCGCCCACTGAGTTGGACTGAACAGAGCTGAATTCATAAATCGACCGTCAATAAACCAATCAATAAAGCCAAGGAGAAACACGGAACACGTGTATTCTGCTGGTGCCATGGTGGCCTCAGGGACCACAGAGCCAATTTGGCCGAGGCATGGGCTGACCGCCACCTCAGGGCCAGCTGTGTGCTGGGTCAGACCATGCCTTGCCCTTCCCACTTCCCACAAGCCCTCACGTGAAGCAGTCTCTGCCCATAGCGGCTGTGGGGAATCTGTCCAACGAGTCCCTGGGCCCTCCTTTTCTCCCCACCTACCCCTTTTGCAGACCAATCCACTCTGTGATTCCGGTGACCACCGTGCAGATGCCCTCTCCGGACCCCTGGATGGGAGCCAGCTGGGGACAGGGGGAGCCAGCAGAGGGGGCTGGCCAGCAGAGAGAGGGTCATCCACACAAGCAGACTGGTCACCAGGAATAATGTGCGTCTACAGGCTTCTCGTTTTGTCCCCCTCAGCTAAAGAAAATACGGGCCCCTTACCGAACCCAAAGACTCGTTGATCTAAGAACCTCTGGTGCCATTTTTTCCACCATTTTTCACCGATTGCTGTTTCCCTGCTGGCCTAAGACCGTCTAACCTGACCTTGCCCAGCTTTTGGACCAAGGGGCGTCGGGGGCGGGTGGGTGGACGAGGGCCAAGGAGGGGGCCGGGGAGGGGCCGGGGCTTCAGTGCAAGCCCAGAAACTCCTTGAGGACGTCGCAGGTCTTCTTGTGCATGACCTCGCGAAGCTTCCTGACCCGCCGGCTGCTGGACGCTCCCACGAAACTGTCAGGCCGCAGCATGGCCATGCCGCCGTCCACCTCGCCCATGATGATGAGCGGCGTCTCGCCCACCGTCACGTTGGGGCAGGGGCAGGTCCAGTCCACGTGGAGCAGGGTGACTTCCAGCGGCTCCCGGCCCAGAAACTTGAGGCCCATCTTCTCATCCTTTAGAACCTCGTCCACGGTCACCAGGGCACGACCCGAGTCGGGCTCCTCGGTCAGCTCGGACACCCGGCCCAAGATGACGAAGTCGCTCCGACAGAAGCTGGTGACGAGCTTCTGCCTGGGCTTGCAGGCCCGGCAGCGCTGGTCCCCCCGCGGGAAGGGGCAGGACTCCTCGCAGGCCTCGCGGCTCTCGAAGTTGTTGCTGTTGCCCTCGCAGCCGCCATACACGAAGGACTGGCACTGGCCCGTCTGGCTGTTGTAGGCCCAGCGAGGTGCGTAGGCCTTGCAGGGCCCCTGCAGGGCGGGCAGGCTGCACGCGGCCAGCGGCCCGCTCATGCAGGCCAGCATGCAGGCCTCGTAGGTCTCAAAGTGGTTGCGGTTGCGGTGGCAGTGGCCAAAGGTGAAGGTGACGCAGTTGTTGGCCTGCGCGTCGAAGTGCCAGCGGGTCTGCTCCTCGCCACAGTCCTCGCTGTCGGGGGGCTTCAGGCACTCGGCCGTGGGGAAGGCCGTGCCATTGGGGCTGCTCTCCGAGGTGGCCGCGGCCTGACCCCCCCTGACCACTGACAGTGGGAAGTCGGCCCGCAGGACCCCGGCGGCATTCCGGGCCGTGCAGGTGTAGATGCCAGCGTCCTGGGGCTGGGCGTTATAGATGACCAGCTGGGCGATGTTGGTGACCACCACGTTGCCGCGCACGTGGTTAGGCCGCATGACCACGTTCTCTCGGTCCTCCAGCTGCTTCTCCCAGGTGACCTCGGGCCGGGGCCGGCCCACCACATCGCAGAGGAAGCTCACCGTCTCGCCCACGGTGACCGACTGGTGCACGGGGTGGTTGAGCAGAGCGGGGGCCACCATATCCGGCCCGGGGGTCTCCGGGGAGGCCGTGGTGGGGCGCACGGTGGTCTCGGGCGGCAGGGGACTGGTGTTGGGCCAGGTGAAGTGGTGGCGGCAGGTGACGACGGCCAGCGTGATGCCCTTAGAACAGGCCTCAGCATCCATGTAACAACGGTTATAGTAGGTGAGGCCGTCGGAGGCACACGTGAAACTGGGCTCCTTCTCACAACGATCTTTGCACTTGCACACGGGCTGGCCGTCCCAGATGTCACACTCGGAGCCCTGCTGCAGACACATGAAGTGGTCGCATGTGGCCTCCTTGGGCATGCCCACCGGGCCCTTCTTGCCTCTCACGTCCATGTACCGGGCGGCCACGCAGCTCTTGGTCCCGCACACGTTCGGGCAGCATTTCTCGGGGGTCTCACACTCCTGCAGAGGGAGCCAGATCGAGAGGCCCGAGTGAGGACGAGCCGGAAGAGCGGACAGGCTTCCCCCACCCCTACCCCACAGTTCCCGTGGAAGGGAGACGGTATCTGCTCACTGCCTACCGTGAGCCAAAAGTGCTCACAGTAAGAGTGGCTGGCGTATCCATAGCACCTGCTATCTGCCAGGGAGGCACGAAGAACGTTTCTGCCTGCCGACTTAGGCTCATCACAAGCCCGGGAGGTGGGCCCAATCATCATCCTCCCCTCACAGGTAGTGATAGCTGAGGCACAGAGAGATTAGGTAACTTGCCCAAGGTCACACAGCCAGTAGTGTGAGAAGAGGTGGACCACGTACCTCTGAGAGGGGAAGTTTTCTTACTACCATTTTACAGATGAAAAGGCAGAGACTCAGAGAAGTGACGCCCGAGTCCATAGAGCCGGCAAGTGGCAGATAAGGGCTTCAAGCTCCAGGTGGATGGGGTTCTGAGGTCTGGTTTGGAACAAATGAGCCTGCCTTTCTGTCTTTTTTCCACTGGGGTGAGGACGCCCTGGCCGAATTGAAGAGGTCACACCAAACCCTAAGAAGGAAAAATCGGACACCTCCGGGGCAGAAGTTCGAGGCCGGCCACACACCCACACACACACACACACACACACACACACACGTCAGGAACGACAGCTCTGTGAAGGGACCGCATTCGCTCAAAGCCAAGGGGAGGGGCAGGCCGGACAGGCCCAGGACGCCAGGTCTCACCACAGAGGGCTGTGCCAGACCCAGGTGCTCAGTTCCGACGTGTGGGACGTTTCATGGGGAAATCAACAAGGAAAACAGTCCCCTTGGGTGGCAAAGGTCAGCAAAGCCGTCAGCGAGGACTTACTAGGCTGTAATCCCCCCTGATTCTCTGTGGAGCCACATAAGGCATTAGTTTAATTCCTCGAAATTAGCAACATGCTCTGGGGCCGACACAAACAAGGACTTCACGTGGTGTTTTCGACAATAACACATCGTACTCGCTGGGCAGGCGGGCAACGGTCCTAATCCTTCGCCCTGGTAGTGGCTCTGTGAATTACTCCCCACTAGGGCTGGCCTCTTGTGGTTCTGACTTTTATTTCAGCCTCTTTGACATTCCACATCAGCTAAGAGGGGGGAAAAAAAATCCCCCACCGGAGCTGTGTGGAGCCTGCCCGCTTGACCTGTTTACTGTTTTCCCCTCTCGGCTCAGAATGGGGACTTTGTTTTGCAGCCCTTGCTTGGCATAGACTTCTGGGCCACACCAGGCGAGGCTTTGGTCCGGGGATGGGCGAATCTCAGAGCTGGGGTCTGAGGGCGAGAGACCCAGTGGGCGCTGGAGGGCAGGAGGGACTGGGAACAGACAGGAGCCCCGGCTCCTTGGCCCAAGGGTCATCAAATTCCTTAAGAACTGGCCCAGGAAGCTCCTTTAGGACCCCGATGTCCCTGAAAGGTTGGGTCCTCAGAGACCAGGGGCAGGTGTCTCAGCACAGGGAACCTAGGAGGACTTCTTAGAACAGTTTTTGCTTAAGGGCCCAGAATATACCCAGAGGCTCATGAATCCCTAGCCCCACACAGGTGCCTTTTCCCCAAGACACGCCAAATCAGCCAGAGTCTCCCTGTCCCACGCGCCACCCGATTTATCAGGCCAGCCTGAGCCACTGAAACAGATTTCCCTGCAAATGTAGCCAGTGAACCGCGTGACCTCAGCTGAATGGGAGTGCTCTGCCTCCACACTCCTTATCTCCCTTTCCTCCGTCACCACCATCGCTCACTGGCAGCGTCTGGCCCGAGTGGTCTGACAATTGTCCCCTGGACACCATGGGGCAGAGGCCACTCTCTGCAGGGCTATCTTGGGCTTTTCTGGGGATTCCATGCATTTGGAAAAGGCCGCACCAGGGTCTCTCCCGTGCCCCGGTGATGCCCAGCCCAGCCCAGCCCCGAGCCCTAGGAACTGGCCAGGCCGGCAGGAAGCGCCTCTGTCCAGGCAGCTGCTAGGTACCAGCACGCTCTCCATCCCCTGTGGGGAGTGGCAGGAATGGCCCTTGGACTCGGGAGCCGGGAGAGAATTGCTCTAACCCCAGCCCTGCCCTGCTTGGCCCAGGCTGCTCTGATGAGAGCAGAAGGGAGGACCGAGGAAGCTGGCAGGTTGGAGCTCATTCCACTTCCCTCCCAGGGCCAACCAGAGAGTCTATTCAGAGCTGTTCCTGCCTACTCTCCCCATCAGCCTGGTCTGATCTCCGGGTCAGGGTGCAAACCCCTGGGCAGGTGGCCTGGAGGCCTCACTCCGTTGTCAGAGACACGCAGCTTCTATGCCCACCCTCCCATCCCTGGCTACGGGACCTTGTGCCACTCGCTGCACTGCCCTGAGGGTCTGCTCTCACCTGCTGATGGGGGGCTGAAGGGCTGGGCCAGACCACACGACACGCCTGGCCTAGTTCTGGCTCCGAGCAGCCTTCGGCAAACACGAGACTGGGAATCCCAGGATTCGCCATCCCTGATGGGCTTGGACATCACACCCACCTCTTCATCGGAGCCTCGGACCCTGGCAGACATCACGCCCTACGTATCTCCATGCGGCCTGGGGCCCAACTTCCTTTGTGTTCCTGGGCCCTGCCAGGTGCTCCTGAGCCTCCCCAGCCCACGGCCCCCACTAACACACTCACGTGGTCCGCGTCCGGCGTCTGGATTCCCACTCACCTGGTCCGTCTCACACTCCCGCTTACAGGTGCTCTGGGCGTCCACCCAGAGGTTGGGGTTCATGTCGTTGGGGCAGATGCCAGCGTGAGAGTAGCGGATGGGTGGCACTGCCAGGCCTCTCAGGGGCACCCCCAGCAGCAGAAGCAACACTGTCACCTGCGCCCAGCGGGACCAGAGCCGGCAGCACCCCGGGGCCCACATGATGCGGTCTATGGTGGCTAGAGACCTCCCCTGGGACGAGGCCAGGGGCTGGGGCCCCCCAGGACCTTCTCCTTCTCTGGGCTACAGACACCTGCCCTCCCCGCCACCCCAGCAGGCTTTCTCGGTGGGGCTGCCTCCGGCTGCCTCCAACAAGTCAGTGCAGCCCGCTGGGCCGTGCGGCTTCAGATAAAGGAAAGGTCTTCGCAAGGAAACTCCCTCTCCTGAGCGTGCAGGGAGAGGAGCCGCGGCGGGGGCCCGAGCCTGGATTTATATCCTGGGCGCGCCACCCAAGTGGGAGCGAGCTAACCTGATGCCTGTCACAGGCGGGCTGCTGGCTCCTCTGTCCCGTGGCTGATCACAGACTTGTTGCAGAAGGGGAAAAAAAAAGCTGGAAGCGGTTTAGGCGGCGTATCTGGCACGGTGGGACACCTGCTTGTTTTTGACTCCAGGAGGCCTTTTAACCCCTTCAAGGGCCAGAAATGGCATGTGCTTTGGGGGGGAGCTGGCTCCGGGACACGCAAGCTCACTGTAAAGGAGCGGTTTGTTTCCCTTTCCCCCACCTCCGCGGGCCGGGCCCCCTCCTCCCCGTGGCCACCTCTGAAGAACACACAATCGCTTGTTACGAGGAGGGACCTGCAGCCACAGGGTTAGCATCGCCTGGCCCGATAGCACATTTGAGAGCAAATGACGTGGAAAAACAACAAGTTCACGGCCATTCCAGGGCGGGCCTGAGCAGCAGCGCTGTGCCGTGTAAGCCGCCTCCCGCCCCCGCACCAGGTCCCCCTGTGGGGGGGGTGTGCGCTCGGACAGCTTCCTATCTCTCTGTCCCGGGCAGTTCACGGCTCAAGTTCCAACTTCGGTGAATTGCCCCCAAATCATTCCAGAGACACATACCAGATATGCTCCGGCTCCCCCAGCTGCCGGGACCTATCACATTCCTCGCTCCTCGATTGACACACTCGTCCGCTCCGAGAAAACCTCCGCGGTGAGTGTCTCAGGACAGCGCTGGGCGGCGGGGCCGCCCTCGCGAACCACCACACAGGTTCCCTGAGCCCTCCAGCGGTGCAGTGTACTTCGGCCGTCCTGTCACTTCCCCCCACTTTACCAAGGAGAAGGTTCCGGGCTGGAGAACCTCGCCCAAGGTCAGCCACCGTGGGCAGTGACTCATTGCTAGTGTTTACGGGGCTCCCAGGATGTGCCAGGCTCTCCGCACACATCACGTCCCTTCATCTTCACAACCAACCACCCTCGTGGCAGATTTGAGGAAGAGACACCCAGAGAGGCTAAGCAACTCCCCCCCCCCCCCCCCATCGCACAGCGCTATGGGATGCCACCGTCGACCGGGAAGACGGGGCGGCCAGTTTGCCGGGTGCGGGCTGCGGCCTTTGGGAACCTCCCTTCCCCCACCTGGCTGTCAGGTCTGCTGTCAAGGTGCAGCTTCAGCTCTGGTTTTTATAGGCCGGAGGGGCAGTTGGTGAAACATCAGACGCTGTCTTGGTGGAGGGGGGCAGGGAGAGAGTCGGAAGCTGCCGGGAGGTTAGGGACCATGTCTCTCCCGTTTGACAGGAAAGGGCAGGTATGTCAAACGCCCCCGAAAAGTGAGCTGGCCAACATGTTTTTGCGTTGGTCACTTGACCCCCAGAGGGCGAGAGGTAGCGGGGAGACGGATCCCCAGAAAAGAGAGGTACCTTTTAAAGGCCCAACCACACAGGAGTTGAGGAGCGGCGACGGAGATGCTGTGTCCCAGGGAGACTAGATGGCGCGGTCCCAGCACTAGTCGGAGCCAGAAGGGACCTGGAAGGCCCCCAGCAGTGCTCTCATTTCACAGATGGAGAAACTGAGTCCGGAGCCCAGGACCTTCCTTTCCCAGGTCGACTCTCCCCTTCAGGGCTAGCGTTGGCCATCTAATTTGACTGTAGAAAAAGCACAGCCCTTTTCTCCGCCCTGCAGACTTTTCTTCTGCGTGTGTGGCCTTTTCCCTGCCTGCACCCATCCTTCCCCATAGTGCGGGTCGTTCCGCAAGATCTGTCTTTTCTGCTTATGTCGAAGAGCTAATACAGGGTGTCAGGTCCCAATTCCCTAAATTATTGGAATAAACTTCCCCCTCCAAGGCCGGTCCCCGTAATGAAGCCAGACAGTGGCGACGCCGGCTGCTCTGAATTGCCTGTAATTTCATAAACCCGTGTTCCAGCTGCTCGGAGCGGGGCCTGAGCCCCGCACTTGACAAATGCAGTTTGTGCAGCCTCCTTTGAAATCACAGAGGGAAATGGACGGTGACACATTTCTAAGCAGGGCTTAGAGGAATTGTCACGGCCCTGTTACTTGGGGACAAGTATCCAGGGAGAAGAGACTGGTTTCTGGGGAGTCACCTGAGACCACTAGAGGAAATGGCAGGGACAGGGGAGTGGGGACAGAGCAGAGGTGGCCTAGACGGGGAGGCTCCCCCCCC